AGATGATGCATCAACACTATCAATTCCCATTACAATCTTAAACACCTCAATCAGATCACCCCTAACTTTTCTTTTTTTAAGAGAAAACAGTTTGAGAGATTTCAGCCCCACCTCGTATGACAACCCCTCCATCCCAGGCACCATTCTAGTAACCTTTCTCTGAATCCTTTCCAACAATTAAATGTATTTCCTAAAGTAAAGAGCCCAACACTGAACACAATATTCCAAATGTGGCCTAACCAGTGGCCTGACCAGTGAAATTATAACTTCTTTAGACCTGTATTCAATATTTCTGTAGATACAATCTAAAATCCTATTTGCCCTACCACAAGCAACAGCACACTACTTGGATGGCTTTAGAGACTGACTGACTATTACACCAAGATCCCTTTCTTTCATGACACTTATAATTCAAATTATGATAACCCACATGCATTATCTTACATTTATTATAATTAAAACCGATCTGCCATTTATTTGCCCAACTCACTAAATGATCTAAATCCTTTTGTAAATCAGCAGCATCCTCTTCATGGCTAGCAACACCCAAGACCTGAATATCAACCACAAATTTAAGTAATCAAAAAGAGCAAAGGTCCAAAGCCTTCTATATACTAGCCTTCCTATATCATCCCTCAAGGGTTTTACCCTCAACCCAACATTTTGTTTACCCTTAATGTATTTAAAGAAATCCTTACTGTTAATTTTTACATTTTCAGCCAACCTTTTCTCATACATCCTTTTTGATGTCCTAATTTCCTGTTTCCCCAACTTTCTTAATCTTCTAAATCTCCTGTTATATCAGTCAATTTAAATTTCTGAAATTTATGATGCTTTTCTTTAATTTTAATTCTTATAATCTTTCTGAGCTAACCTGGTTTTTTACTTGTAGCTACACTTTTCTTTCTATAAGGAATATGTTTACCTTTAATACTTAAAAACTTATCTTTAAAAATTTTCCACATCTGATCAGTGTCTAGAAATAATTCAGCTGCTCAATTCACAACAGATAATTGTTGTTACATCCCTTCAAAATTTGTAACCAAAATATCATTATTCCTCATCTACATATGTAGCAAAACATTGAAACTAATAAAGCAATGATCACTTGCAACCAGATGTTCCCCAATTTCCACCCTCTGGATCATTTCTATATTTGAAGTTAACAATAAATCTAAAATAGCATGACTAGATATGATTTCAAGTCAGATCTAGCTGCACCTTCATAATAACTGGAGGAACTGAAGGATCTGTCTAGGATGCAGTTCTCTTACACATTAATTAGAAAAACATGTAGAAAACAACTTACCTTTCCTGAAGATTTAACACCTTTCATGAGACATAAGAAAACAATGATCCACGAAACTAAAAGGCACACAGCCAATTCCCACTTGATAGTTCCAATATCTTCAATACCATCCGTTATATCCAGGACAAACTTTCTATTTAATAATAAAGAATGAAACAGTAATAAAATTACAACAATAATCTTACTATAATGGATGTAGCCTGTATGTCAGTATCTATATATGTAACCAAAACTACAGAAAAAAACATTAAACATATTGATACAGAGATGAAATATTGATTGTTTAAAGACTTTTCTGTATTCTTAGGATGTGTTTTAAACTAATAAGTAGAGAAAGAAAGCCATTCAAGATGGGAAGGCAAAAAAGTATAAAGATGACGATGAAAGGAAATAGCGAGTAAGAAGGCAAAAAAGAAGACAGGCTAAGAAAAATGTTGCAATATGTGAAGATGAAAAAAGCTGAAGAATTGGAGGAGCGAAGACTTGAGAGACTGAGATGGATGTCTCAAAATGAATCAGAAGATGAAAGCCTCGACTTGAGAGCTAAGGAGGATGTCTCAATACACACAAGCACATGATTAGTAATTACTAGCACAAACAGCTGCCCATAGGGCAGTGTTTCTGCTAGTACCTATAATTGTGAGAGTTGAAACAATTTTATTAAACTTCAAATTTAAACTCAACTTAATTGAATTTTTAAATCAAACTAGATGAGGTTCAAGAACTCACTAAAAACAATGTTCATTGATAAGCTTCAGGAGAACCTTTATGCAGATCAAAATTTTAATGTAGAGAAAAGCACAGGTTAGTTTGGTAACCCTTACTTCACTGAAGTCTTTAGTTTATGGTTCTAAAAGTTTGTTATAATAAATGTGTAGTTATTCTGAATATTGTCTGACCACTGTTTACACATGTTATTAGTCTTAAAGAATGCTTAGCTTTGATGTTTTTAACACAATATGCTGTTTAGTGTGCATACTTTAAATTGGTAACTACACTTCTAATTATTCTTCAAAAGAGCAAATCAGAAGACTAAAAGTTTGTGATAAGATAAAACTTTAACATGGTGAAAATCCAGTTATTCAATTATCAATTACAAATTAGTAACCTTCATTATTTATAATGTTTTATTATGTTGTTGATATTCTTTGTACATCACAATGAAGTAAGGACCAGATATACGGAATTATAACTATTGAAAATGCTAGTTATTTTTTGTTTTCCAAAAATAAGAAACTACAAACATTCCTTGACCTGAATTTAATTGTCTCACTGGTCTTAAGAACATGGAAAAACCCTCATCACGAGCTGCTTTATAATAAGTTCAAAAGTATCTGGACTTTTCCTTTCTAGATGAAATTTTCTACTGGGGCTTAAAGAACTTTCTAGAAATGATACTTGCAAATGAAAGTTAGAAACTCAAACTTACATAGAAGAGTTTCCTAAGATTAAGTTAATCAAAATAAAATGTGACACTTACTCCCAGAACTGCTCGGTTGCTGTTTGAGAAGCATTGGTACAGTTAGCTAAAGTTGAATAGTAAAGATCTGGAGATATTAAAGCACTCTTGTATTTGGAGACAGTAACATTCACAAAGTTCTCCGTGGAGTTGCTTCCCATCACTTCTGAGCCATTGTAATGTTTATTGTACAGTTTCACTAGCCGTTTTAATGCCTCATTACATTGGATCTGAAGAAAAAAATATTACAACATAAGCTAGAACTTAATGTGATAATATTATCAGTTATATCTTAATATAATAACAACATTAGCTGCAGCTTAATATAATAACACTATTACTTATATCTAAATTTAATAACCTTATTAGTTAAATCATAATTTAATAATAATATTATATATATATATCAATTTAACAACATTATTAGCTACACGTTAATGTAATAACAATTTTAATTTCAGCTAATTGTAGTAACAAATTTATTGTAATGATATCAACTCGTGTCATACAATATCAGATATAGTTTAGTGTAATAAAGATACCACCGTTAATTTAGAGTAATAACAATATCAAATAAAACTTACTGTAATAAAAAATAAATCAAACCAATCACCCAGCCTTACCATAAGTACTTAAACAAGGTATAGTTGAAATGTTATGAAACACCACTCTTAAACAAAACACCTACTGGGCAAGTAGGGAATCACAATTTAAATTATTATCAGACTTACTGGAACATCATATCATGCAATTAATTACGGTCAATTTCTTGTTCTGTTTTAATTCTTTATAGTAACATTTAAGAAGTAAGATACAAGTTTGTTTGTTGTTTTTAATTTTGAGCAAAGCTACACGAGGGTTATCTGCTCTAGCCGTCCCTAATTTAGCAGTGTAAGACTAGAGGGAAGGCAGCTAGTCATCGCCACCCACCGCCATCTCTTGGGCTATTATTTTACCAACGAATAGTGGGATTGACCATCACATTATAATGCACCCATGGCTGAAAATGTGAGCATGTTTGGTGTGATGGGGATTCGAACCCGCAGATTGCGAGTTGAGTTCCCTAACCACCTGGCCATGCCGGGCCTGTAATAGATACAAGTATCCACAGCTTGTTAGAAGTTTCAAGTATTGTTCAATATTCTACTCTCCAAACAATATAAATTCTTCCTGCTGACATCGGTTTTTTTCTTCTCAAGCTTATGATAATTAGTGCAGTGTAAAATTAAAATTTAGATTTAAAAAAATACTTATTTTTCATTAGCTATAAAAAAAAACTTCTGTACATCCCTATGTAGAAAAAATAGTAACTCATTAACTACTTTTTGGGACTTAAATTAATCATACCAAACTTGCTAAAACATTTCAATGCTAGAGAAAGAAAAAACATATAAAAAGCAATATTTTGATGAGTACTGAACAAACACTTTAGCAGTACCTGGCCTTTAGTTCTGACATAACATGTGTTGTTGTCTGCTCCCCACCAAGTAAAACAGTCGTCCCATGGGACAACAGAACGGAATGAATGGCCTATGTAGAACAAGCAGTAGCTCATGATAACATTGTAGTAGATGGAAACAATGAGAGAAATTATCACCATTGCTGCCCCAATTCCTAGAGAAAATCACATAAGTTGAAAAATCATTATTATAAAATATATGTTTATTAAAGCTATTGAGTGTTTAGTTAGATTACATTATTGTTTCTAAAGTGTTTAGTCTAGACAGATGGGTTAGAACATTATTTGAAATGAAATAATTCTTTCATATAATAAGACAGGAGAACATATTAGAGGGAATAACACAAGTTTGTCCCTGAGAAAGAAAGGTCCACCTTTCAAAAGCACTCAGGTTATAGGGGTTTTATCATTTCATGTAACAAATATTGACATTAAACTAAATTGTTAACTCTCTAGTTATAAAACATTTATTTTTTATAACTAGAGAGTTAATAAATGTTTTATAACTAGAGAGTTAATAAATGTTTTATAACTAGAGAGTTAATAAATGTTTTATAACTAGAGAGTTTTATTAATTAACTCTCTAGTTATAAAACATTTATTAACTCTCTAGTTATAAAATATTAATTAACTCTCTAGTTATAAAACATTTATTAACTCTCTAGTTATAAAACATTAATTAACTCTCTAGTTATAAAATATTTATTAACTCTCTAGTTATAAAACATTTATTAACTCTCTAGTTATAAAACATTTATTAACTCTCTAGTTATAAAACATTTATTAACTCTAT